GGTATCTGCGGAGAAGGAAATGAAGTAACCAACCACTCACGAGCGCTAAGAATTCATTTCCTACCCGTGTCAAATTCACATCATAAGTAAGTTCCCTTAATTTTTTAGCCTCATTTTTCAGTCTCTGATCAAAAATTATTATCGTATGCGTCGTCAGTGTGCTCGAGTCCCTGACGTTTATAATATTCAGATTGCAAATCCACGGCTTTTCGCACACTTCGCACGTAGCCTCTTAAAAGCATCAGATCACCTCGTCATTCCTCGCATGCACATTGGCCGATGTGCCTTGGATGTTTATGAATTTTCTTAGTTTGCAGGGAGGAGCCACCGAATATCTTCTTCCCCGTTATTTGGCAATGTAAATGCAAATCGACGCCGAGCTTGAAGAGAGCAAAACAAAAAAACAAAAAAAAAACAAAAAAAAAACTACAAGTTCTATACATATTTTCGAAAGTTTAATTGCCTAAGCATTATCGGCGTATTGGCTTGGCAATAATGTTCTTATACAAACGGTCGACACTCCTCAATAATTCAATTTTATACGAATAAAAAATCAGGTAGACGTCGAAAGACTTGAAAAAATCCAACGGACAAACATACACAATATACGTATAAGGCCTCGGTGCGCATCGGCTTTCCTCTCTCCAACGGCAATATTTGCTTGCAATTACGAATGAATCACGCACTGCAAGTAACTTAAGCACAGCTTCGTATTCATCGCGGAAACTTTAATGAAATGCAATTAAATACGAGTAACAGGCATTCTTTAGCCTAGAATTTCTACACAGTTCAACAAGCAAACACTTGTTTCATTTAATAACCAAGAGACACGCACACGCGCACGTAACGGCGTAGTACCGAGGCTCGTCCCTGGCAAATGTACGCGGAGAGAAAAATGCTCTGGCTCGTGTTCCATCCTCCAGTTGTATCTAGTTATCCTGGTGTAGTGCCGCATGGGTAGGGAAGGAGGAGGAGGTGGAGGAGGAAAGTCGCTCTTTGGCCTTCTATCTGTCGCAATGCCCTCTCGCGTTAGGTTACCGAGCGATGCGACCAGGCTAACGTTGGAGAGTCGCGCACCCGGTTCGGCGCTATTAATTGCGTTCTATTTATCAACGACGAGGAAGAGGAAGTGCTAACGTGCTTTACCGCGGCGCGCTCGACGACGAGACTCCGCTCCCAATGGAGTGGTACATTTCACGAGGAGCGTCTCTACTCTCGTCCCAATCGAGACAGTCGTCGTCGTCGTCGTCGTCGTCGTCGTCATTGTTATTATCATCGTTATTGGCGGTTGGCGCGCGCCTCTCTTCGATACTTTCTCAATAAATGTTTTCTTCATAAATCAAGTGGTTGCGAGCAGTAGCATTCGAAACACGTGGACGACCGTTTTAAGCTTCGATGAGCGAGCGGATGATTCGGTTATTTTGACGAGGGCGATCGTCGAGTTTCCGACGCTTCTTGTATCCCCGCGTCTTTGGTGACGGTAAGTGGTTGCACTACGAGTGCTGGGAGATTATCGGTAAGAGTACCGAGCGTCGCGTGCACCCCCCCCGATGGGTGTTAAATTGATTGGCAGCCAGCGGTTTTCGACAATTTCTCGCCAGAACGTGCTTGTTCTGGTAAATGTACTCACTGGTATCAACGATATCTTTACTTTTGTTGTGGAAAAGAAGTGCGTCAACCAGTATGCCTTGTTGGACATTATTATCAAGCTTTTACGTCTATGTGGAGTGTGGGTGCTATTTCAATGAGCCCAAAGATATATTCATAAATGGTAAATATATTTGTTTACAGACGCACAATTAGGGATGTCGCGGAACACGGGTCCCGGGCTGTACGAGTTCCTCATGGAGGCGGAATTACAGCAGTATTATCCAGGCATCAGAGGTGCGTTATGTAAAATTTAATAAGCAAGCGCGTGTTCTGCTGCGGATTCCTTAAGCTTTGTTCGCGTTTTATCGATATTATTTTATTGGTAACGAGTATCTTTGACGCCGTGTGGAACATTGGAGGAGGACAATGGGGACGCCGTGTGATTCAAGAAGGAAAGGGAAATGAAAGAATACGGGATATCACGACATCTTTACGAGAAATCGCGGTCAGTGGAATGGATTTCTTACCGAAGGATTATTTACATTGAATAATACGAGGCGTGGAATCGCGTTTTCATTAATCGAAGCCCGGATTATCATTGTAGGATTTTGTTACTAGCGCGCAGTAGCCAGTAAAATGGTGGATCGAAGTTGCCATTCGACTATTTTCCAGTGCCGAATGCACGGTGATAGCATACAGCGCGTTGTCGTTGAGGATTTCGTTGACGTTGTTGTTGTTGATTTTTTTTTTTTTTTTTTTTTTTTTATGTTTATGTATACATAAATTTTATTTTTAATTTTATTTATGTTTCATTTCTTTTTACCGAAGTTTACCCTCATAGAGATGGAGAGAATATTTCATGGTGCAAAAATTCGTTGGTTCTTATAGGTGACCTGAAGGTGCAGAATACCGCGCAGCTAAAGTACGTAACCGAGGAGGACTTGTGTGGCATCGGGATGACAAAGCCCGAGATGCGTCGTCTCAAGAAGTACTTTCAAAAGCACTTTCCTCAGAATTATCTTTCAAAATTCAAAAAGATGCTGCTGCCGCGCAAGGAGGAGCAAATATCGGGCAACCTGACGATGCTGCCGGAGGAGAGGCAAGACCGACCGCCCATACGAGTACCGAATAAGCACATGATACCGGCGGATGCGATCATCGTCAACAAGGAACTGGGTAAGAGGACATAATGGAGCGCGCGCGCGCGCGCGCACCCCACTCTCGCCGGCTCGATAACGTAAATTTCTCGCGATATCTTGCGATTTCTGACTATTTCTGACGATTGACGCGCCTTGACGCGCAATCCAAGCATTTTACGCGTCGCCCAATATATCGGCGCCGTACATAGGCGAGAAATCTCGGGGCGCCGTACTTGTCTCACGCACGTAGCGTAATAATAGCCTATCACTGTATACAATATCGTTTGGGGCGTTGTACGAATAATTCTATTTTCGGTAGTAAGTTTGATGCTTTTCTAAAACGAGCCAACGTATAATAGAAATCGAATTCTGGAGTACGCGCGCGCGCGTTTTGAGAGACCCCTTGGAAGAAAAAAAAGCTTTCGGGGAACTTAAGCGCGTCAACGACTGGACGGCTTCGTCGAGTGACGTGACAATTTCATAGTACGTAAATAAATACGTACTTTAGGATCGCAGGAGTTTTTTATTTTTAGCCGACTGTATTACGAGGGGGCCTTTCTCACTGAATCGTCGCGCCTCATGGATAACGCCTATTTAAGAAATAACGCTCTTTTGTAATCGTCACGGTCGAGGGGTGTTGTTTATGGTTTTTCTTTTCGCGATCATCGACGTTCTTTAAATCTAATAAGGCGAAGAAAAAAATTGTCCAAATAAGAGATAAAGGATTATTGTTTGTATTGGCCGTACGAGGAGATTTACCGACGATAATAGTGTGATCGAAATAGTTTGCCTCACAACGGTATTTATTCCACTTGTACCGGCTCGCGTCACATTCTCTCGTCACTTTGCCACGAAGATTCAATGATGCAAGTCGCAATTTGGCAAAGTCTCGGTGGAGTTGGTGGACGAGGACGATGGCAAAGACGGCCTCCTTGGTAATCGGCGCACGATGCCGCTCTGTCCTTAGGAATGGGAGAATTCGGCGTAGTGCAGCAGGGCGTCTGGACGAACGATGGCGAGCGGATCCAGGTGGCGATAAAGTGCCTGTCGCGCGAGCGTATGCAGAACAATCCGATCGAGTTCCTCAAGGAGGCGGCGATAATGCACTCGATCGACCACGAGCACATAGTACGCCTCTACGGCGTCGTCCTCGACACGAATTCGCTGATGCTCGTGACGGAGCTCGCGCCCCTCCGCTCTCTCCTCGAGTGCCTGAAGGAGCCGAGCCTACGGGCAAGCTTCCCCGTGCCCTCGCTCTGCGACTTTTCCGTGCAGATTGCCGACGGCATGCAGTACCTCGAGGCCAAAAGACTGATACACCGCGATCTCGCAGCGCGCAACATCCTCGTCTTCTCGAAGAACAAGGTGAAGATATCGGACTTTGGGCTCTCGAGGGCCCTTGGCGTCGGAAAAGATTACTATCAGACGAATTTCAATGTCAATCTGAAGCTGCCGATCGCCTGGTGCGCCCCCGAGTGCATATCCTATCTCAAGTTTACCTCGGCCAGCGACGTTTGGGCCTACGGTGAGTGACGAGATCTCAAGCTTCTTTATCCACATTATTATAAGCGGCTCTTTATAACTTGAGCTGACCTTAATACACTCTGTGGCTGCTTGTAAGTGAATCGTTTTCGTAATTGAAGAATGGCGCATTATATTGGGATTATAAACAAGGTCTTGCCAAGTCGCTTAATTGCGGAAACTAGGCAGTCTCTCGGCGGGCGTTGGGAAACAATTTTCTTAAGGCTCAATTGTAAAAAAGATCAAAGCAAAATGTAGATGATGTATTTTACGAACTAATTATTCACTTGGCATGCGTTGCAGTGTCTTTTTCTTCTTTTGAAATGTTTGAGAATTGAGAGAGAGAGAGAGAGAGAGAGAGAGAATGTAGCTTTTCAGTCAAACGTTTTTTAATCCGTTACTTTTTTGCCGCAAAGTCAATAATTATAACAAATTCATGTACATAAGATTCGAAAATTTCCCATTTTAACGGATATCGATTACACACGACTGACTGTAGTTTATGCTACTATTATTATGAATTTTCAAACACGTGGAATAAATTTTCGTGACTGACCAAGTGACAAGTCAAGCGATCGAACAAAGAAAATTCAAAATGACAAATATTAACCAAACCGAGGTAGCTTCTTTCATCTTAAAAGACAACTTCTCGCGTACATTGAACAAGCGAACGGGAGCCGTTAAGGACATACACCGACAATTACACACCGAAACGCGCACACGCACGCACGCACACGCACGCACACAGACAGACAGACAGACAGACATCGATCGTTAATGAGATAGTGTAAGAGACGAGCGCAAAATAATGGCCAATTTCATTGGCGGCAGGTGTGACCCTCTGGGAGATGTTCAGCTACGGCTTCCAGCCGTGGGCGGCGTTAACCGGCCATCAGATCCTCGAGGAGATCGACGAGCCGAACTTTCAGCGTCTGGAGCAGCCGGACTGCTGCCCCAAGGACTACTTTTCTCTCATGCAGCAGTGTTGGCAACACGAGCCAACCAAGCGGCCCAAATTCTCCGAGCTCATCTGTCTCCTACCCGATCTCAAGCCCGAGCAGGTTCAGGCGGTCCAGGACAACGCGGAGATCGGCCAGCTGGCCTACCGCCAGGGCGACGTCATAACCGTCCTCGACAAGGCCATCAGTAACACGCTCTGGAAGGGAGTGCTAAACAACGGCAAGACCGGCTTCTTCAATCCGGCGCACACGATAGCTTACCTCGGCAGCAACCTGCCCAGCAATAAACCCGGCGAGTTCACGAGGGGCGACGGCAAGAATATATTCTCGTCTCAGGTGAGTCAGAGTGAAAAATAGTGTCGGTGGCGGGAGGGGGGGGGTGGGGAGCAATGGCCACTGCTACCGTTACTGCTACTGCTGATCGATATCCTGTGCCAATTTGCATGGCTCGACTACCTGGGGAGAGAGAAACGATACTTTCTTATATAGACGAGAAATGTCACCACCTGCACTTTTCTATTCAATTATTAGAATTAATTTACCGATCATTATGACAGTAGTTACATTGCGGAGAATATTGACTATTTAATTCCCTTTGTCCTTCTCACTTCTTGAGTCGCCTTTCAGTTAGTTCAAAATAAGTTAGTTTTTTTTTTTAATTTTTAATTTTTAATTTAATTATTTACTCGTTCGTAGCTTTAATATAATTGTACCGATAAATAGTGGTAGAGGGCGAGAATTATTTTTAAAATAATTTACAACTCAACGATGGCCATTTGCTTTAGCTCGAGCGCGCATACGCACACAAGAATGAGACTCGAATGCTCTATATGCGCTGGTAAATTCGTGACCTCAAATTTAATAAAGCAGTGTTAGTAATATTAACGCTACAATATTGATTTGCTTTAGAAGGAAACACTTGGTAGCGAAAATCTCGATAATGTTAAAGCTCAGTTTAAAATTTTTACACATTATTTTCATGGCAAATTCAGCTACTAATCGGAGCCCTTTAAATACCAAGACTTTGGATTTCTCGTGCAAGCATACATAATATTACCATCTCTAAATAGAAATTAAATATGGCTGTGTAATGATACGTTTCTCCGTAGTGACATTAACTTTCGTCCAACTCGAGTGCACTCGTTATACGAGTCGCCTCCAAGTGCCCGATGAAACTATAAAAAAAAAAAAGAAAAGAAAAAAAAAAAACCGTCCAGCAAACGTAAAAGGGTCATTAATTCAAATTTCATACGCTATTGCAGAGGAGAAAGATTCGCACAGACATGATTTCATCACCCCAGGGAGATTTGAAGCACACGGGCCACGTCGGTCTCGACGGCGCCTACTTCGGAGACATAAGCTTCCTGGGCGGCAAATACCCGCACCTGCCACGGCAGGTTGTTACCCCGTACAAGCCACACGAGGACGCGACCGACAACAATTCTAGTCAGATGACGAGTCAGGAGGTGATGATGATGGGCTTGGACAGAGATAGCAACAGGGATTCGATCAGGGACAGTCGGCAGAGTATCCAGCATCTGCAGCGCGACATGCCAAGCAAACACGGTGAGTTGAGTCCCCACACGTTACGTAACGCCGGCGATCATCGACGCAATCTATAATTGTATAATTCGGCCGCACTCATCTGGCAAACGCTGGTCTGATGGGCTTCACTCATTCCGACCATCCATCTCTAATATTTATTAATATTATGTAGCGGAATGGACGGTAGATATGACGTTTGTTATGTCACTCATTGCAGACATTTAAATGAGAATTTGTATTGAAAGGAGCTAATTTCACTATACTTATATATATATACGATTACTTTACCATCGATTCTGAAAAATATAGGCCACAATCTATGAGATTTAACCAATTGAGAGGAAAAACCAAAATTTTATTGCCACGACCTTTTCGAAATATTGCCAAAATGTAAAAACAAAAACGTATCAAAAAAGAAGAAAAAAACGAACAAAGAAAGATAAAAAGGATTGCTTACCCCCAGGCCCAATCATCTCTCAATCTTTCCGTTTGCGATATATAATAGGCCGCTCAAAGAATTAATTTTCGCTCTATTTTCAGTATTTATTATCATTGCGTTCAATTGATGTGATTATCGCTTTATCAACAGATAGCTTATGGTCGGACACATGCTCGGAGATCTCGCAGTTGGGCTCTGGCAACGCTTCCAACAATATGCCGTCCAGCATGGTTAGCAGCACGGACAGCAGCACAATTTGCGCCGATCACGAGTATCATGAAATCAGTGACGAGGAAAACCAAGACAGTCCACTGAGATTTGACAAGCCACTGAGTTTCGATTTTGGCCCGAGTCTTCTCGACGAGATGGATCAAATGTTCCGGTCGCTAGGTATCGCTCAAGAATCTTCGCTTTGCATGGATGGGAATAAAAGTTGTGTCCAATTTTTTTTTTTTTTTTTTTTTTTTTTTTTTTTTTTTTGAAGTTCATGGGGATGTTTATGGTTACGATAGCTGTCGGTAATTCGCTGTTTAAGTTATCGGGGTAAGTCGCACGAGCGTCGATCTCTAATAATTGTAATAATCAATAGATTGATTAACTATGGAGATAATAGTTGTATAAGTATCCATCGAGAGATGGGAAACAAAGAACTCGGATTATTATTAGTGCATATATTCGATTAAGAACTATTACTAATTTTGATATACTTTTACGCTTTAAGATTTGATGGATGTGACTTACATTATATAAATGCTCATAAATGGCTTATAAAATTAATTTATTCAAATCGTTCGTCCGAGGGTGTTCGCTGGACGTTTAATCAACTAGTTGGGGCTCTTTTTTTTCTTTTTCATTATTAAAACGCATTGAAAAATTTGGCTCTTTAATAATGAATTGTGTGAGAAAAAAATCAATATTTATAACATTACACTTTGTTTTATGTTTTATCTGCGTCATATTGACACACGATTAAGGAACGAATCAAGCAAAACGCATTTAAGCAAATTTAGGCGTAGAAATTGAAATAAGGGACCAGTGGGGGGTGGGGGGTAAATATAGATAAAGAGAAAATTAAACTTTTAATGGTGTAGGGTCATCTCCACCACCGCCACCACAAGGCCATCCAACGCCAACGGAACACGAGTCCAGCAATGCGAGAAACGAGCTTCGAGAAATTCAAGCAAAGCAAAGTTGCAAAAAAAAACAAGCGACCGTGAGTCCCATAAATGTACAGTACACTTTTGTTTTATGTATTTTTAATTCGACTTATTCGAATCAAGAACACTTTACTGCTTTATCGACTTCTTTTTTCTTTTTTTTTTTATTATAAGTGGTGTCTCGCATACGTAATACATAAACATACTTGTTATCGTTGCTTTTTTTTTTTTTTTTTTTTTTTTTTTTTTTTTTTTTTTTTTTTTTTTTTTTTATGGCAAGTCTTTAGAAATAATATCGCATAATTAGCAAAGAGAAGCAAAGAGAGGTTTTTTGATGAGTAGACCTACGTTACACGTGATTTTATTAGCGTTCTCCATTTTTTTTGTCTTTTTTCATTTTTTTTCTTATTGCTCAAACGTGAAATTATCAGTGAATTAACAAATTAACAGAAGAGAGAAAGAAATAAAGAAAACAAAACAAAAACAGAAAAAAAATCTTGATCTCTCAGTGCCAGTCGCGTTTAATAATGAATTTTTTTATTAATTTGAAAATCAAGCATTTAATCGCAGAGCGACTCGATTGTTTATTCATCGACATTGGATTGATTTAAAATTCAATAAGATCGTTCAATATCTATCGTCGACGTACCATGTATTTTCTATCTCGTTTTTGTTCCCATCTTTTTTTAAATGTATTAGCGTGTAAATTATTTAAATCTCGATTGATGGTAATAGTGCCTTACTCGTGATGAAATTACAAGTACAAGTGCAAATGCGCGTAATCGCTCGCTAGAAGCAACAATACGTATGAATACACAATACGGGAATAGGAAATTGTCTGGGAAAAGTGCATCGCATCTCTAATATCTCAGTTGAAAGTCTCCGTTATCGATGCTCGGCCACTCTTAGTTACGCAAAATCCCTCTGCTCTTGTTGTTTGTCGGATGCACTGGGCATCGCAGGTGAAGCCAATATCGGCTGCTGATCAGAAAACTCTCTACTCGGCGATTGCAATGGCGCAGGAATTGACAGCGCGTTCCATGACGGACCTCGAGCACCCGCAGGACACACACTCACCGCGAACTCCCGCGAGTCCGTCGCGTCGCCGGAAGTTCTCTTTTAAGTTGCCACATCAACACAGTCCAAAACCCGACAGACGACACTTTTCCGAGGAAGCGGCCAGTATACCTGATATCCAGGTACATTATGTTTTATTTTTTGTTAAAGTTCACTTAGCTTTGGGAGGCGGGTCTACCTGCCACGAACCAATGAACCACTTCCTGAAAGGTTCAACCGTCTTTCGGACCAACACTTTGAAAATGTCCATGTCGAGCGAGTGTCGCTTGAAACTTTCGATGTTAGTGGCTTTGTCGAGGCGTTTTCTTGGCTGGTAGACTTAACTCTCGAGACGGATCTTTATCCATTTTCATACAGATTTCCACGATAGCTTAAAATTTCAATATAAACTCGGCATTAAGCACGCTTTTACAAATGCAGTTTATTATATTACGAAAATTATTGTAATATGTCATGAGGAAGTAATTATAATGTGAATTCACATGTTACTCTAAAGGATCGTATATTTAACGTCATATCGAGCGCATTAGAGCAATAGATTTTCAATAATTAATGTCTCGCAGATGTTTTATAATAAATTTTGCAATATATTGTATTTGTATTTTATATAAGGAATCGTAGTTAATTTATAATTCTTTGACTAAAATAAGATTGAAAATTCAAATGTATTGTTTATGCTTGTGTTGGAAAAAAAAAATGGATGCCGATCTTTCTCGCCAAGTGATATTTATCGATTGTATACGGTTGTCAATATTATTTGGCTTATTATAATTTTACCGATAAATATTAATGTTAAACTGATGATTTTTGACGGTAAATGTTTAATTAATTGTAATACATTTTGATATTATATTTTTATATATGAATACCTTTGAAAGTAAAAGTGTACAGTGTTGTTCTTTACTCTATTTTTTTTTTTTTTATCGATAAATAAATTGTCTTTCAGAACTCGTAATTCGTGCTATCTATTGAACTTTTACCGGACGCACTGATAATTCAATGATAATCTATATTGATTAAAAAATTGTCGCATAAGAAGTAAATTTTTTGTCGAAATTGCCAATGTGAAACTAAACATTATCAAGAGAAATTTTTGTTACAACGTTTGTCGTAAAGAATCACTCGTATTTTTCTATTTTTATCCATATTTTCTATTCTACGACAATAATTATAATAAGCCAATATTCTTTTAAGTCTTTAATTTTCCAAAACAACTAACAACTACACATAATTTATGTAAGTTTAATTATATTTTCACAAATTTATCTCATTGAATCTTTACGTAACACCACTCTTTTCTTTTTCTTTATCTTCACAAATATATTATTAATACACTAACGCATCAGCAACTAACATTAACAATAATATTACGCTATATTGTAACCGTTGCTGCGGCGATCGTTAAATAAAAATCTAATCCTGTTTGTGGAACAGCGCTAATTCCTGATGCCAGACATTGATAAGGTCTTATGCAAATTGCAACATAGTCACCAACCAACGACATTACTACAAAGTAAATCCTTTAAACCTCTTAAAAGAAAATTTTTCATATTATGCGAATGACCTTTTTAGACTCCATTAGTCAATTTTATAATTATTAAGATATATCTTTTATGTTTACTACTAATTTAAGGGCGTAATTTTCCCGTTTAAGGCGTTTTAAGTGAGCGGTACGCGATGAACATTAGCTTCGAAGAAGACGTTTGTAACGATTCGACATTATGATGATATTTCGTGCATTTGTTAAAAAATCAAGTGAGAGAGAGAGAGAGAGAGAGAGATATGGAGAGAGAGAGAGTGAGAGAGAGAGAGAGAAGAAAAAAAAACGGACTATTGCCTTATAATAATAAGGCATTGCGCATTAAGAAATAAGCGAGTAAATTACGCCCTTGATTACGATCAGCTTAATAATGGAAATTAAAACTAATGCAACCCAAATCCCTCACTCCCTCCGTCCTATCAATTTTTTTTTTATTTTCAAACTTCATCACGGCCCTTATTTTATTGATTTGGTTGCCAATTATTTTCACAATTATTATCATCAACTCCTTGAATTTATTTTCGCCCCTGCTTTATTTCGCGGTGATTTTACTATTATTTGCCCCGTAAATACCATCCCTTGCTACCGCCAACTATCACATTCGTACTCGTACCCCTATGTCGGTGTTGCATGCGCGAAAATCCCCGGAAACGCAGTGGCTTTGCTCGAGCTTGCAATCCCTCTCGTCAACGGTGTCCAGTATCGAGTCCCTGGGTGCGCCCTCCACTTTAAAACTGCCACTCTGGGACAAGGCCTCGGCCGAGTTCTGTTTCGCCAAGTCCCGCGAGCTCCTTACCAAACCCACCGCCTGGACATCCTATGTCGACGTCGAATTCGACGCCCGAATCCTCGACAACGCCGCGACGAAGCAGCACCTCGTCAAGTCGAGCGAGTTCCTTGAGAACGGCAACGCGTACTGCAAGAGCATAGCCAGCTGCTTGGAATTCGAGTCGCCGACTCGCCAGCAGAACGGCAAGAGTAATTTCGAATTCCCAAATGAATCGAAGAGGGTGTCGACGAGCTACGTCGACAGGTACTTTGACGAGCAGCCGAAATACGAGGAGCCGAGCGCCGACTGTCCCATAGACAGCGACGAGCTATCTTACGAGGATGAGCAGAAGATCAACGAGCTCGAGCAATCCTGTCGCAACGCCTTCCTAGCCAATTTACCGGAATTTGGTATAATACTCGGCGATGAGAGCAACCATCGGCCGAGTCAATTCAATAAATCGAGCGGCAAATCATCATCATCATCATCATCATCATCATCATCATCATCATCATCATCATCATCATCATCATCATCATCATCATCATCATCATCATCATCATCATCATCATCATCATCATCATCATCATCATCATCATCATCATCATCATCATCATCATCATCATCATCATCATAATCATAATCATAATCATCATCATCATCATCATCATCATCATCTTCATCAGCAGCATCATGAACAGCAGCAGCAGCAGCAGCAGCAGCAACAGCAGCATCAATCGAAAACTTTTATCGGTAGTCCACGTCATCCCAATAACGATTTGCTAAAAAATCTCTACAGCAGTTCGTCCGACAGCATGAAGACTATAAGCGACAATTCCCGCGGTAACTTGGACGCCGTGCGCATCAACATGCAAAACTTGAAAAAGTTTAACAATCAAAATGGCCACGAGAAGAACCATTATCCCTACGCGATATCCAACAATCCGCTGTTCCTCGCCGATATCGAGAAGAGGGATTCGCCACCCTACAGCAGCTCCGAGAGCCTGCGAGTCAACGTTCAGCGCATGCGCAGAAAGTCTGACGTGGAATTGAGCTGCAAGCAGCGGGAGCAGCAGCAGATGCCGAGCAGCAAACTCTTGGCCGAGAAGTACCAGAGGGAGGTGTCCGGCCTGGAGAGTGTGAAAAATTATTTAGAATCGAAGAAGAACCAGGCGGGAATGAACCTCGGCTTCGGCAAGCTCACCCAGAACATGATTCAGCTCGGCAAGAGCATCGCCCAAAATACGCGAAGCGTCTCCAACGGTCCGCCCTTACAAAAGCCCAATCACTTGGACCTGAGTATGCCGTTGCAAAAGAGCTCGAGTCACATGACGAGCAGCAGCAGCAGTCCTAGCATGCACCAGAGAATCTTGGAGCCGCCGAAGCCCTATCAGAACGAGAGGAGAATACTCGGGTTGGCCAAGGCCGAGATATTCGTGGAGAAGGTCCGGATTGCCAATGTACTACGGCCGAGGACGTCGTCGTTGTCGGAGAGCAAGCGGCCCTACGCGAAGAATCATCGGCGCTCGTTTCATCCTGGCAACGACGACTCCAGCGAGGACTCCGACTCGATCTCGCATTCGGAAACGGACATCCGCGGTCGACTGAGACTGAAAAGACGGCACAGGCGTATGCCGCATAACGTCCGCCTTGACTTTAAGAATCAGAAGGCCGCCGCAGCCGCCGCAACCGCTGCCGCTGCCGCTACCTCGGCTCTCCTAACTCACAACAAGACGTTCCTCCATCCCGAGTCGGCCAGGGGATACTCGAGCTTCGAGCTGAGCGGCAAGTCGCCACCGCCCTCGACTAGCTTCCTCAACTCGCTATCGCCACCCTTTTCCTCCAGGAGTAACATCATCACCTGGCCAGAAAGTGCCCCGAGCTCCAGCATCACCTTCACTAGCAATTCGGACTTGGACTCGGACATGAGCTCGGAATATCCCGAATTCAACAACGACATTCTAACCTTCCCACCATCTCCAGCCCCCTAGTGATTTCTCACTCACTCACTCTCTTCCCCCCCCCTCCCTCTCACTCTTTCTTTCTTTCTTGTTTTTTTTTCTTTTTCTTTTCTTTTTCGTTAAGCGTCTGTGTGATTGAAGCTTCGTATTAAGCGATTACGAGTCTGCTCGATGTACTACCGCTCTTTGATATTAGTTCCGTGCATATATGATATTTATGACTTGATGTTGTTGGTCATCCTTTCTCTATCTCTCTATCTCTCTCATTTATTATCCCTTTATCGTTAAAGTAAAATTTTCTTGGAAGATGCAAGAGTTACTTTAACTGCCGCACTTGCGGTTTCATGTCTTTTATCGAAATTGCTGGGACTGAGATGACTGCCCAATGCAACTTGCACGATGCATTTTCACTTTTCCAGCGATAACTATCTAATCATACATGCTTATTATTATTAAATTCCGTGGCATTTAATGATGGCAAGTTAATTAATATTCGATCAATCCATCTTGCTGAAACGGTGGCGATAAATATTGACAAACTCATCCATGTGATCGTCGTGATCGCGCATTTCCAGCCTCGGTAAGCCAAACTTGTTTCTCATACGGATAGTAGTGACGGTAATGCGCATCGAGTAATACATCGAGTAGCAGTAGATTAATATACGATTAAAACACTGGTTTTATAGATTAAAAATAAGACATATACGCTATTAATTTTAATGATTACGAGCTTGCAAAATTATAAAGAATGTGTATGTTTTATGGGGCGATTGCAGACGAAGTAATTACGATTTAAGCAGCTTTATTATATAAATTTTACTGCGTGATATTATGTACTTTCGCGAGTATTCGTTGCCTAGAGTTTATTCGCTTTAAAGACACCTTTATAGGAGCATTATATAACAATAAAGACTGGATGTAAGCAAAAATAGATGAAACAAAAAAAAAAAAAAAAATCACGAATACCTAAGGTGACTTGAGTAGTGCTTGATTAATCACATTTAAACGTAGTTGGGTATAATTAGTAAAAAAAAAAAAAAACAAACAAACAAACAAACAAACAAACAAAAAAATGACATTTGCATCTCCTCCATTGGACTGGTATGCGTAAAATATCTTTATGTTATGATACTTATTATTGCGATGTGTCATGATTGTAAATAGATTTTTTAATAATGCGATAAATTTTCAAAATCGAATTTATAGAAGTAACAATGTTGTATTTTCTACAAATAATATAGTAGAAAGTATTCCTATTGCAAAAAAAAAAAAAACAAACAAACAAAACAAAACAAAACAAAACACAAAAAAAAACAAAAAAAAAATATATGAATAAAATGTCTTCTAGACTATCGAATCGATTTTGAAGTTGACATTGCTAAACTAATTGATTATCTTGGTCATAGTTATATTGTATTCACGTAATATATGCGGAATGACGATAACAATGATAATGTCGATAGCACTTTTTGATACACATATATATTTATACATTTGTAACTTGTGTATGCGTTGAATGATCACGAAGATCGAGTACTGAGAGTAGATTTTATACTCGCACATATAACGGAGCGCATCCGTATATTTTACTATTAAATCGGCTCGTAGGATTCTAAAAGCTCATTTGTCCCTCCATTGCATTGTAAAACATTATTCATAAGGATTTTCTTCTTCATTTTGCACGTTCATGTTTTTTATATGCAATTATTAAATGAACGGTATATCATTGCTCGTTGTTTGCAAGTGAGGCTAATCTCAGAATTAAAACAAAAATTGTTGTTTTTTGTTCTTTCATTTTCTAGTACAATTAATTATTTATAAGATGCATTTATATATGCCTTGCGTTTGTTTTTACAGGTTAGTGCAATTTAAAAAGTTCAATTTCAGAATTAATTCTTCGGGTTTGCAACAATTTGTTGCTAAAATATCCGAATCTTACTTAAAATTTGTATATATAAAATTTAATGGGCATTAAAGCATATACGGGATAAAATTTTTTAAGTCTTTCGTCGCACCAAAGATAATATGATTAATATTAATATTGATAATAAGTCTAATGATGAAGAATAATGGAAAATTCTTTGAAAATTCTTGAATGAAAATCATCGATGATTTAATGAATTCGCAGCATTAGTAATGAAGTTAAAAATTTAATTGCTTATCAATTGCAAAGAAGCTATAGAATTTAGAATTTTCATCGTGCTTTCTGCATCGAGCAATATTACCTTTCTGCTGAAATGTAAAATTTTAAATTGCCACTAAAATAATGCAATTAAAGATGCATAGATACATTAAATATTGTCACACATACTAATTTATTATCATATTTTTTGAAGTTACAAGCCTCGAAAAATAAAAAGAAAGCTTTTAATCGAACATTCAATTTTTTAATTTTTTTTTAATTTTTTTTTTTTTTTTAATTATCCGTTCATATCGCTACATTTAATGTCTTATTCTCTGTTTTGATAATGTGCGATTACGATAATCCCACGTCAAGAGCATCAACGTCGAATTTATCCGTATTTATAATGTAATATAATTCATGTATTGAGACAACATGAAACTTTAGGCGAAAGACGTCTTTTAATTGATTAAATCGATATTCTTGACAAAAGCCTGCAAATTATCAAGCAATAATTTAGCTTACGATTTACTACTGATTTTATATAATAAATAATAACATATTACAATATCGTGAGCCTCGTCACCTTGCGCTGCCTATGACGTAGCAATTTGACAATTAACGCCGACTGGCACTTGCCGAGGAATTTTCATTCTCACAATGCACGTGCCCATTAGAAATATTAGCAAAGTTGTGGTTTCCACGCGTAGATACAGAGCCTCGTACAGTCACGAATGAGCTTAATAATTTGCACCTGTCGTATGTCGTATTCGAGTCGCCTGGCCACGATCAATGGCGATACGTGCGTGCTGTTACGATCGTAAGGCGGCCTCGGCTTACGCGGGCCACTGCAAAAGCTTTTCCCCAAGCGAAAAGAAGCACAAGAAGCCGCGTTGATCGCCGATCCCAACGTTTCGTCGAGAGATTCGCTCGATCGAATCCGCCACTGTATCTTCACCCACGCCCCTCACCCCTTCATTACCTACTCGTCACACCATCGCTCGCTTCCGGCTAACGAAAATCGAGTTCGCATCGGCAATCCCGATCCCCGTCCGCCACGTCTTCTTTGACGTAACCTGAGTCTTTCTTTTTTTATGATTTTTCGTTCGCACCTCCGTAAACGTCATGCGCCTTCTACCCTCCCCCTCGGCTGTGTTGTTATCCAGGCCACGCTATCGGACGAGGCCAAGGAGGTCTACAATAGCTTGGTCGAGACGCCGGCGACCGGAATCGCCGACAGTCCCGACACCAATCCCCTGAGGATGCTGCGCTCGGGCCTGCCGATCGTGCGACCGCGCGTCCGTGGCAACAAGCACGCGTCCAGCCTCGGACCGGTCTCCCCCGACGATGAGCATCACCACCAGGTAAGACACCATCCCGATAAACTACCCTATACCTCCCCACCCTACTCCTCCTCATCCAATCCCGTAGTCAATAGGACGAACGAGCGAAGATTGCGACGTATCGCTCGTCATTCCGTTACTCGGTCGACAAACGTCTCGCACCATGAAGTAACGCAATCCCAATAATGACCATCAATTAATAACTTACGATCGGCGTTAATTGCTGTGGAGAGTGAAGAAGCTGCTAACCTTCCCGATACCCTCGTTGGCGCGTAATAACAATGAACTTCCAAGTCTAACGGCAGCATCCCTTAGCTTCAGCAGCACGGAAGCAGCAGGAGCTTCCACCTGGAGGGTTTGCAGCATCATCACAGTAGCGGTGCCCGGACGTTGCCCAAGTTGAGGCTGCCGGCGCCGTCGCAGGCGCCACCCCCGGTTCCGAGCCAGCAGGGACTCATCTACAGGCACCACTCGATGGAGATCGAGAACAATCAGAACCAGGGTAACGTGAACGAGGAAAATCCGATTCCCCTGCCGCCAAGGGATAGGTCGAAAACCCTTCAGCCCAAGTCGAGTTTACCGAGACACCAGAGGAAGCATCCTCTCATCATACCCGGGGGTGGTGTAACGCGCACCCTTGCCAAAATGCAGGCCGTCTCGAGCCCGACGATGGAGGACCAAGTCGATGGCTTCCAGCGACTGGCCTTCGCTACGGAGCGAGAGCCCGGTGGAGGCAGTAACATCCTTGGCTCCGAGAGGTCCGCGTCCAGAAACGAACAGCTGCCCTCGCCGGAGCTCGCGGCCAGCAGGTTCGATCATTGTTTCATTATATCTAATCCGAGCCCCGTTTCTACCCCCGCTCGAGCGACCCACGCCGCTATCCGCGAGGAGCCGCTCCTCCACGTGCGTACGATGACGATTTCAACGGAACGCGCGTAAAATCGGTGCTTAAATTACGAATTCTGTCGGGCGTGTGCCGAAGCAAATTCGATAATTAATCCTTGGAATGCACAGCTCGAAGGACAAACAAATAAACATCATCGCTGATTTAAATATACGACGCGACATACTTATTAATCGTTTATAAATTCAATATTAAACACGAGTTGGAATTTCATTGATTAGCATTGGGTATCTGAGGGTGGCATTTGGATTTCCAAATTAACGTTCGAATAATTCGTTTGTAAAGATTAGTCGATTTGAATAATAACGCTTTCGTTAAAGCCCATGTTTAAGCCGATGTTTCAGGATATTAAGAATATGTCGACACGATTCGGTGTTTTTTTTTTTTTTTTTTAAATATACTTTACATAAACCAAAACGATCGTTAATCACACGCCTGCATCTTTAAAGCGATGTTTTTTGTTTTTGACTTGTTATTTAGAGAATAAATAGATAGAATTGCGGCCTTGCTGTTCATTTTTTTTATTGTTTTTTTTTATTGTTAGGCCAAGTACATTTATATATAAACATTTGAGTAGGAACTACGTCATATACCGTACTTATCAAAGATCAAAATTCCTGAATGTACAATGTACAGCTTGAAAATGGCCAAAGTTTTTAATTTATTCATGCCAAACATCGTTGAGACCCATCAGAAAAACGATAAAACAAAGCGCTTTATCGTCTTTTATCGCTAAACCTATAAGTAAACGAAGAATGTAAAACGTGACTGAAACAATTATAGCAGCCCCGAGGAGTTCGAGAGGCGCATCGAAATGGAGCTCGCCGTCCTCGATACACTACCTCTCGAGGACGGCAAGCACCAGCGTTGCAGTGTCATATCCGAAGATCTACTCGAGTTCTCGGAGAATCTCATCGACTGCGAGTCACTCGACGGCAGCGAGGAGAACGCCGAGGGGCCCGAGGAGCAGTCGCCGCCAACCCGGAAGCTCGTGCCAGAGAACGCCGAGCTGCCCTTGGAGGATAGTCTCGACCCTACGACTTCCGTTTCTAACTCGTCAAACGGTTCGAGTAAGCAGCAGCAGCAGCAGCAGCAGCAGCAGCAGCAGCAGCAGCAGCAGCAGCAGCAGCAGCAGCAGCAGCAGCAGCAGCAGCAGCAGCAGCAGCAGCAGCAGCAGCAGCAGCAGCAGCAGCAGCAGCAGCAGCAGCAGCAGCAGCAGCAGCAGCAGCAGCATGACAAAAGCGAGACCATGACGAGGATGAGCGATCACGTATCGTGCGAGGACCTACTCGAGTTTGCCTGCGACGGTCCCAATTCGCGTAGGACTCGAGGTCCTCGGAACGGCGAGCAGTCGGATGAGGTCAGTATCGGATGTCAATCGATCACCGGGAGATAGGATCGTCGGTAGCATCGTCATCGACATCGGAGCGACAATGTGCAACGGCTTCAGTGACTCAGTCCCTTATCTCAACGAATTATAAATCCTAGTTAAATAGATTAAATGGTTCGGCTAGCTTGAAAGTATCTTTGAAAATAATTTCCGTCTCTTTCTTCATTCGATTTTCAATTGTCAATTCGTATAATCTGTAAATGAATTAAGTTAATTTCAATTTTACATTTAGCTTTCAATAGAATTGTAAGGGAGCAATTTATGGCATCAATCGTCATCAACTATATTATTCAATTCCGGCAAAAGAGAGCTTGTAATATGTCATTGAAATTTATAATATAAATATAATAAAACCGCTCCCGGATAAATTGTCGTCCGGATGACTTAAAATTCACGGGGCCGCGTCAACTGTATTTAATTTACAATGAACTGTGCAAATTTCTTCTATCGTATCTTGACAAGATTACTTTGCAGTTCGGCACTGATTAATCGTACTATTTTAATGAGAACATATAATATATTTGAATTTTTTAAAAATAAATCTATAAGGAATAGTCTATGAATACGTTGACGTTGTTGCTTTTTATTAATCTCATTCTTGGTGTTTTGTTTTGTTTTTTTTTTTTTTTTTTTTTTTTTTTTTTTTTTATTGAATAGTCAAATAATCTAATATCGTTTTATAATTTCAAACCTCAGGGGATTCGAATTTCATTTAATACTATTACATGTGTATACAATGGTGTTTATCGACCACATAAAATGTTCTAAAATTGTTTAGTAATACAAATACTGGAATAACAATAAGTGTTTCCAAATAAAAAATTCCAAATAAAAAAATTGCGATTGTTATTGTATTCTGAAATTGATTCGATCTTTAAGTAAAAATAATTGTCTATAGTAATGAGAATATCCAATTATAAAACTCCAATACTTTATCTTGTTAGAATAATCATTCTAATTTGTGTTTATAATCTCAATAGGTCAGGATTATGCTGAAGGTGTTACACGAGCAGTCAACTCCCGAATCTTGCGTGGCCGCGTTGAACGTCACGAATTGGGATGTTTTAGCTGCGATTAAATTAGAAAGACTGCAAGGATTGTTGAAGAGGGAGAACAATTTCGTGGGGTTGGAGGACTGTAAGGTGATGTTAAGCCAGTGTGGTGGTGATGTTGTAAAGGCTGCAGCCTTACTAAGAAATACCGAGGATACTGCTGCCGTGTAAACGTCGTTATAAATTTGCGCTTTCTTGTTACTACTGACTGAGAAATATTTTTTAGTAGTTGTGTTTTATCCTATTTATTTGTAAAAAAAAAAAAGAAACAAAAAAACAACGACAAAAACAAGTATTTTGAAGCCATGATAAAGAGCTTTAAAGATGCAACAAACGAACGTTCCTTTTATCGTTATTTATTCGATGTTTCAGAAAAATCGATCAGCTGCCGCTTCGAAATAATTGAAGCTATGACTTTTATGTTTTTGTTGCGTGTGAATGTAAATGGCAGACGTTTTTGAAATGAATATTACTCAGTCAGTAAATAAGTATTGTAGAAAAAGTTCCGTGACAACTCAGTTTAATTATTAAATTATAATACCACGCTCTTTGGTTGTATAATTTTTTAATTTATTTATCGTGTTCTTAATGAAAATTTGAATGTTATCAATTTAGTGTAAGAAAGATGCCATACCAATTAAGATAAAGGAATTTGCAAATGCTTGTTGCGGTAAATTTAACACTATTTTTTGTAAAAGTATAATAATGTGAAGGTTGTACATGCTGTTTAGTAGTGGCTAATAAAATAAACAAATCCTTTAATTTACATTATGATGTTTCGGACAATTTTTGTATTTATCTTCGTTTATTTATTGTGCTGTTTTTATTATGCCACGCCTCCTCGACATGTTGTTCATCGATTATATATATACGCAAAATGTACGAAATACTTCGTATTAATATAAGAAATAAAAGAAATAATTTCTTAAAATTTCTTTGACGCATAATTTTTAAGAAACTATTAAGCCCTATAAATGAGAAATTTGACACAGGGTGAAAAAAAGTGGAGGTCGAAATAAAACACCAAATAGTTTTGAGGTTGCTTGTGTTCAATTCAGAGTTTTTTTTTTTTTTTTTTTTTTTTAAATATATGTATAAGAATGCGATCAAAATGTTTTGATTGGGACCTTTTGAAACCTCAAAACCGTATAAAAATGTTTTTTACTGTAACGACTAAGATACAACATAATCGTAAGGTTTTATTATAAAAATATAAGAATAAAAAATAAATTCGTATAGTTTGGGAATTGTTACTTGAAGAGCTTTAATTTCCTGAATTGTACAAAATACCTTAAGACCTTGATCTTAATGACTCTTGTTCTTTTTGGCATCTCGAATATTTGACATGAGACTGTATAAAATAATCGCTGATTAAGAATTTTAACAAAAAAAAAAAAAAAAAAAAAAACCCAGAGAAATTAATTTTATATTATGGTATGTGAACTATAAGTATAAACTACTTTCGCTAAATCCATTTGTACATTATACATTAATTGCACAGATTTTTATTTTTTTTTGTCTGTAAAATTACAATGTATTTATATATAAAATTTGACATGTGCCAATTTTTTCGACATTATAAGCGATTATTTTGCTGAATTTTAACTAAAATTTTAAAGAAATTACCAATCGTACTATTGTATTGGATTGAAGCGACATTTGCATGTCATAAAATTCTCTCTACTATTATAATTTCGTCATTTTTAAGATTAGAAAGAAAAATGGGAGATTATCGAGAGATTACCAAGAGACAAAGGGCGAGAGGATAGTGATATTACATTAGCTTTTGTTCTATTATGATTATTTTTCATCTTAAATGCTTGTAACGAATTTTGTCACTAAAGCACAAAGCGCTATGTCCTGGACGTATGCTCTCCGTCTTAATTGGTAATTTCTGTTTTAGATTGACTCTCCTAATAAAGAAAAACAAAACGTAAATCTTAGTTGCCAAGTATTGTTTGTTTATTGTATTATTTCACGTTATATTTGAGGATTTAGTAGCTGTCCTATACAAACTAAATTATCTTAAAAGGCATTGCGTTGGTTTGCGAGCTTAGTGTATGTTTTCTCAATTATCGAGAATCGGAAATACCACGCGTATTTTATTGTAAATTTTAAGATCTCGACGCGAACGATCGATTCGCGTCAATGGAATATTTTCAAGTTCTACGATTTTATTCAACGTCTTTTTACCATTGACATGCAACTATTAAATGGACGGGATTTCTCATAAAAAGTTTTATTAGCTTCACAAAGTTCAGAGCTTTTTACAAATTCAGCATCTTCGAGGAGTAAGATTAAAAGAAAAAACATAGAACAAATAGAAAGAATGAAAAAAAGAAAGAAGAAGAAAAAGAATAAAAAGTGAAAACGATCGATAGAGCCATTAGATCGATTAGCCTGCAGTCATTTCCCCATAAAAGAAATTAGTCGTAGCCAACGGATGAACTGTACAAAGAGTCATGCGCGTTGGTTTTTTTTTTGCTCGACTAGCTTTATGTGAATATAAAACACGTTGGCGATATAAAAGAAAAAGAAAAATAATAAATAATAAAATAAAAACTATTTTTTGACTGCCACCGGTTTAACGAATGGAAATGCGATCGACAATGTTCGCAAAGCTGATGTACTTACGGGATATTCGTTTTGCGTAATCGATTCGATATTACAACGTCAAGCTTTCCGATAAAAAATTGCCTTTATCGAGCAAACATAGCATAGCGTGATTTACATAGATAATCGAATCATCGTAGTACCGAGACGACAAGCACAAATAATGAAAATTTTATCCTATACATACAATCTTATTATTCCATGAAAAAATGAACGAAACTATGATCCGATATTTTTGACTAACTGCGTACAATACAAGCGATATGTACAACAATAAAAGTGAATCTCGTAGTGAAAAAGTTTTCTTCTTATTCCTCATAACAACAGCAACAACAACAAACAATAGTAAACAATAGAAAGATCTTGCGTAAATACGACGGTAATGTGTCACTATACATAGCGTTGATGTTGATTCGACTGACATAAACTGTCTATCTTTTCTTTTTTTTATCGCATACACCGTCAATTAGATACAATTTATTTATAGAAAGATATAACAATGTAGAATCCTGTGGGTAACACAACATTTGCACCCCTTCCTTTTGATAAATCCGAAATAATGTAGTAATATTTATACCTAGACATAATATATATATATATATATATATATTATTATTTTATAACAAAATCAGCGAGAAAAAAAGTTTTATATCAATTGTATTTACGTAATATATATACACAATGCGTATATAAAAATAATTTGAAAAAAATGAAAAATCTATGTTGTTCATTATTAAGTGATTTGGTTTCAAAAAAAAAAAGAAAAAAAACAAAATTCTTTCATAAATTATTTATACCTAATGTAATAGGCAAACTTATTATTCATCATGTTAATTTGAATGTTAATTACTTCTCGTTTACAAGTATTGGACATAGTAGGCAGCAATTTTAGAAATTAGCTATTTAATTATGCAATGAATTTCCAATTTATGAATTACTACCGCACGACTATTATTCTAGAATAACTAATTTATTGACGTTGATATAAATTTTTCAAACAAACCCGTTTTCAACTATTATTTTAAATATTAATAAATCCAAGTCTAAATCGAGCATATTGTATTGGAAGATAAATAAAAAAAAAAAAATCATTTACATGTACATACACAAACATATATATATTTATTAAGTTAATTTTATACAATGTTTGATATTTGCTCGTAAACATTAAACATTAATAATTATAGAAAGAAACTTGATTGCAAACTTTAATGCATATTCAAAAACTAATTTTTCTTATAATTTTATTTACTGGCATTTCATAAGCATTTTTTTTTTCTGCCAATTGAAGATTCGCGAAAGAAAATTCATTCGAAGAGTATAAGACATCAAATGCAAATTCATGCTCATGCAATATCGATACTTTGCATAGAGTTATGTTGGGCTGAATTAAAATTAGAGGTCATTTCTGTTTCCTTATTTACCTATTTAAGCCGTAGCTAAACTATACATTATTATTATTATTATTATTATTATTATTATTATTATTGCTTGTATTAAAAACAAAGTTGTAATTTACTTTTTGTAAAGTTGTTATTAATCCAAGACCTGTTTACGGTACATCGAGTTACTATTTTTCGCGCGTGTGTGCGTGCGTGCGTGTGCGTGTCGCGAGTTTTTTTTTTTTTTTCATATAATAAAGCTTAAAATAATAAATGGGATCATAAAGTTTACTAATTAGGTCTTTTATACAATGACTTTTAGTTGTAATAAAATTCGAGGAGCTTTAATTCGCTAATTATGATTAACACGATTAGTAATATTCTAAACATTATTTATCACAGACAAGCTATTTGCTGACAAAATAAAACTACAAAATAAACGGCATTTTTAACGATTAAACACTTTGATATATCGAAAGTAATATAATCCCGATGTTTTTACATATTAATTAGAGGCTTACATCGGTGCGCCTGTCGCTCAGTAATTTGACTTCATTTATAAGTAAACATCAATCTATTAAATTCTATATTTTTTATTTGTTATGCTTAGTTAATTTATAACTATTCTAAGCTAAATACATTCTTACTCGCGTATTCGCGCTACTTTTGATAATACATTGAATTAAATATCGCCGCCTCTTGCTGTGTAAAACTTATGAGAAACAACTTTCAGCGCGTGTAAACAGAAACCGGCGCCTACATACACACACACACACACACACACACACACACACACACACAGAGAGAGAGAGAGAGAGAGAGAGAGGGAATTAACGCGGTTTCACATAGCAAACATTTCATACTAAGCTAATAAAACTCATCTACGATACGCAAACAATAAATGTATTTTTCACAGATAGTTCTTGTGCAATATACATAGTCGTAAACGAGGAAGCGTTATATAGGTTAAATAATGCCGTTAAAAAAAGCGAAAGAATAAAGGAAAAATCAAAATAGTAGAATGAAAGCCATATTAATCGAGGCTGCTTTTATCCGTCGTTTGTGTAATTACAAAAATAAAAAAAAAAAATCTTCGACACGTTATCAACGTTTTCAACACATAATAATCACGATATTGATGTTTGAATAAGGTGATAGTAGTTGTCTCTCGACAATCGACGTTCTTTCATCAATGGTACGCGTCTTTCCATCTCTATAATATCCTGTAGAATTGGTCACTATTTTCTTTTTCTTTTTTCTCTTTTCTTTTTTGTTTTTTG